ATTTTTTTGTGTTTGTATTGGTAAATTTGAGATGGTTGAAATTATATATGATATGAATGAATTTATAGAAAATAGGAATAAAAATGTTTTTACTGACATTTAGAAATATAAAAATAATGAGTTGTTATTACTATTGTTATCATTTTTGTTATTTCATGTTCCCTTTTTTTCAGCATCATCATCTTCAGCCATCAGTCAATCAAAGACAGGTTGCAAAGGTACAGGCTATGATAACCTACCGCCTGATTGGGCGTTGAATCTTAGGGTCACTTGATCTTCGTAAATACCTCAGAATATTAAGGTTCATATTGTCAGATGTTACTTTGGGCAAATTTATTCAAATACTGTATATGCATTTCATGAAATGTATGCATATTATCCTGTCAAATTTCATGAATTTCTATAATTGTTTATTATTTGTACATATAAAATAAATGGTTTTTTTTTTAATTATAAAATTTGAATATATAATTTTTACCTAAAAGAAGGGTAATTCACCTTGGCTTAATTGTACTGTTTAAACTTTTTGTAAAATAATATGCAGTAGATTTTCCGAGGTTGTAGCTATCTAAATACTGTTCGTCATGCATTCAAATGTAGACAGTACAAAGTTGAACATTTGGGTGCACAAAATGTGCAATAAATGTTTTATTTCAAAAGCACAGTACCGCTGATCAGCTTTTCTTCCTCAGTTATTCTTCCCTAGTTTTGAGCTTTCATTTTACCAATTTGATTGTTACAGACAACCATACATATCAGATCATGCTTATGATGTAACCAAAGAAGCTCAATCTAACTGGGGACCCTGATGTATCTTAAGGACATTTTACAAATGGATTTATGTAATCTTAGTTACACTACAGGAATAGTAAGCCACTGTTTTAATACAGTATTATTCAGATTGGCATCTCTCATATGAGATTTCACTAAGCGCACAAATTTAAAATACTCTTGTTCTCTGACAAACTGAAATTTTAGTCATGCCAACAGTGTGAGATGTAAATAAAAATGATAGTGGAATATTTTTATAATGTGCTGCTCAGTCAGTCACTGAATGGGCAGTGCTATGTGTTAACAGGCTTTGAAGGATGAATGCAAGTCTGAACTAAGTTATAATAATCAGCTTATGGTATTTACCATATTATTACAATGACAATATGAATATTTAAATTTCTGAGGTAACTTTTAATTTTGTGGGTATAGAATGAGAATGACTACACAATCCAGAAAACATTATAACTAATTATAAAGT